TCACTAGCTGATCTCGAACTAGGCCCTCGTGAAGCGGATGCCGGGGCTCCACTCGAACAAGCAAGTTAACAACTCACCGAGCACCGTGCTCCGTCCAGTGAGGAAAGCACGACACGGCTCAACCCCTTCGTTCTAGCGAATGGACGCATGAGGGACGACGATCACAAGATGAACCGACCCCCTGACCGGACCCCTGCTACTCGTCGGGGGCTCGGGGGCTCAGCATCATAAAGAGACCGAACATGCGGTCGTAGGCAAACAACGAGTCACCTCCGGTTGCGGAAACCACGGACGGATTGCAAAGCGACAGTAACGAACTGTACTCCCGTGCGCCCTCAAACGATAGATCGCAAAAAGCCTTTGCAAGAGTGTTTCACTCCTCCAAAGGCTCGGGGGCTACTGTCAGATATCTATATCTAGGTATCCGAGCCAAAGGATTAATGAGCGTCACGTTGGCTATTCCGATGATTAAAAATGCAACTACGGCCTTGTCCGACCCCAGGGGTCGGGCCATGCCTCGTTCGACTCCGAGGATGAGGTTTCCGCCTTGTTAGACCCTAGGGGCCGGGCCACGCCTCATCCTACTCTGAGGATGAGGTTTCCGCCTCGTCAGACCCCAGGGGCCGGGCCACTCCTCGTCCGACTCCGAGGATGAGGTTTTCGCCTCGTCCGACCCCTAGGGGCCGGGCCACTCCTCGTCCGACTCCGAGGATGAGGTTTTCGCATCGTCCGACCCCAGGGGCCGTGCCACGCCTTGTCCAACTCCGAGGACAAGGTTTCTGCCTCGTTCGACCCCTAGGGGCCAGGCCACTCCTCGTCCGACTCCGAGGACAAGGTTTCCGCCTCGTTGGACCCCAAGGCTTGGGCTCCGACTCATCCAGTCCCACGAGGAGGGATCCACCTCGTCCGAGCCCTGAGGGTCGGATTCCATCTTGCTTGGCCCCTAGGGCGAGTTTTCCACCTCGCCCGTTCCTTGGGGGTCAGATTTGCTACCGGGCAAGAGCAATGGCCCCAGGGTGGGACCCAAACCGTTTCAACCACTACGGCATGGAGGCACATGCCCGAGAGCACGTCTCGAGCACGTCCTGATGCGACTGGCGATCGCATCGGGCCATGCTGGGAGACTCATCGTCGCCCATCGTGTCAGTAAGCCAGCACTGTGCTGCCAACTCCCTACCTGACTACCGTCCAACGTTAGTCAACCGGCATCAGTTGACTGGCACTGTACCATCAGCCCCCTGTATGGCCTATGTCAGGAGACCCTTTGACCATTCCGTCCGCTCGGATGGGATGGAAGATAAGAACGGCGCACGACGCCCGCACGTATGCTACAGTGTCCAATAGGACCCCGGTGCGACGCCGCTGCCACCACGATCTATAGGGTCAGCGGGACCCACACAAAGAGGAGGACGACACACCCCTAGGAGCCTGATTTCTCCTTTCTTTTTTCCCTATTCCCCTTCGGCTATAACCCCTGCTTTCCCTTGGCCTATAAAAGGGAAAGCAGGGCGTCCCACTAAGGGGCATCACATGATCGGTTCACCGCACCACTTTAGATCAAGAGCATTAGCGTCAAACCTCAGGCACATAGCTGAGAAGAGACCAAGCTCTCGGTACCCATTCGTTCTTTCCACCAAAGACTTGAGACCTGTCCCTCTCTCACCAGTTTGTAACCCCCTACTACAAACTCAGTGCTGGTAACACGAGTAGCCCGAAACTGGACAGAGAGACATTCGGCCCGAACCAGTATAATCCTTGCGTCCTCATAGCACACCATCCAGGTCAGACACGCAATATACAAATTTACTCAATGGTGTTTACTCGAAACACCAACACCACGCGTGCCCCAGGCAGGCCCCGGCCCCGACACACTGAGCCCCGGCCGGCCTCAAGGTCACGAGTAAGGGCGGCACCGAGCGACGGGGTGGGTGGGGAGGAGGCGGGCGGGTCGACGGGCTGGGCGAGGAGGAGACGGGCGGGCCAAACAGCCGAGGCAGCACAGGCCTAGCGGGGTGGGGTGGCCAGGCGGGGAGGAGGCGCCTCGCCGACGGCGGGCGGGCGGGCGGGCGCGGCGACCGGCGGTCGGGACGAACGAAATGAGAAAGGGAAAGAGAGAGATGAGGAGGAAAGAAAGGAAATTGGGTCCATATGTCAGCCGACCAAGGCGCCAAAGATCTTGGCGTCGAGCTCGGTGCCAAGATCTATGGCGCCGTGCTCGACGCCAAGATCTGTGGCGCCGAGCACCCTACCACGTCGACGCCAGCTCCCACGATCTAGGCGCCAATTACACCGGCGCCGAGATGTGTTAGCTCAGCACCAATTACCTAGGCGCCGAGCTGAGGGTCTAGATTTTGAAAGCATATCTCCAGGGGCAGATTTGTGAAAAAACTTTCAAAAAAAGAGCAAAAAAAGGAGTCCTCACGGCTCACGTAGTCCAATTTACCAGGCAGACGCGTGAGTGCGCTGACTCATGAATAAAGATACTTGGTTACAAATTGTTCAATGGACATCTTTGGGTGCACCTTGTGTGGGAAAAGCTCTACCCACATGACAAGCTCCTAGTCATGCCAAAAAGGGATCTTTTTGGTTGAGAGAAAACTTAAAAAACTTAGGGAATTCGTAGTCGTGAGTATATATGGCCATGCAGCCCGAGCCCGTCGGCCCGGCCCAAGGCCTGTTTTTTGTCCCGACTCGGCCCGACGGTGAGCGGGCCCAGGCTGGAATGGCCCGGAGGAGCAGACCGTGCCTGGGCCTTACCCCAGGCACGTAGGCTGGCACGGCACGGCCCGCTCCTGTGGCCCACAGGCCCGCTGGCGGCCGGGCCTCCCCCTCCCCGTCCTCACTCCTCCTCCCCTCCCCAGGCCCAGCGTGGCCCACGCGCTCCACGATGTCCACGGCCCGCCTCCCCCCTCATATATAAGCGGGCATGCCCGTGGTGACTCTCCCTCACGCCTCACCCCGAACCCTAGTGCCGGCGCCGCGGACGCCCCCTCCCCTTCCCTCGCGCGACCTCTCCTCTCCTCGCAGCACCGACGGCCGAGCACGGACGCCGATGCCCTCTGTCCCTTCCTCTCCTCGAGCGACGCCACTGCGGGAGCGAGCGCGTCGGCCTCGAGCTCCGCCCTAACGCAGATCCGGTGCCAAGACAAGCTCGCCGACGGGCGGTGGCCACATCGTCGGCCTCGCGCTGCCTCCTTCCTCGATCCCGCCTCCACCAGATTTACGACGCCCGTCGTCCTCCTCACCATCCCTCGCCTCCGTGGCGGCGCTGGATCTCCGCCGTGGATCTGGCCACGCTGGGTCTTCTCCACCGCAAATCCGGCTCCCCACCCTTGCCTCGACGCTGGCGCGGCGCCTCCTCACCGTCCCTCCCTCCCTCCCTCACTCTCCCTCGGCGGCGCGCGGCTAGGAGGGCGCGGGCGGGCAAATCCGGTAACTCCCTCCCTTCCTTATTTTCTCTCCTCTCCATCTCGCTCACCCCCCCTCTTCATCTCCTCTCCATCGCTTGAGGGAGGGCGCCGCCTGCGCAGCTCCTGCCCTCGAGATTCGAAGCTCCGCCGCTCCCAGCCCCGGCGGCCACCTCCTCCTCGCCTTTGCCTCCCCACGCGACCGTTCAGTGGGCCTCAGGCTAGCACGACCTGTGAAAATGGCCGTGCTTCTCAGGCCGGTCCGACACGGAAATCGGCCCATAGGGCCGTGCCTAGGTCGAAGGCTAGGCACGTGTCCCTATGAGGCATATCCCGAGAGGCACGGCGTGCCATGCTAGCCCGTTGGCTACCGGGCCGTGCTGGCATGGGCCCGTGCTGTGCCGTGCCAGGCCAGCTCGTTGGCCATCTATAGTCGTGAGTCGGTTTTTTGAGGAGAGAGAAGACCACGTAAGCACGAAGCCAGAGTCAACTTTTCATCTAAAAGCAAAGCACGGTCCATGTAATAAAAAATAAAAAAAAGAACACCGCCAGATAACTTCCCTTTCTCCCACGGACAAGGAACATCTCTTTCCTCCGCCACAAAATCACCGTTGCAAATCACCGTAAACTGGAAGATGAGCCGAGCTTCTGCATCGCCAAGCCGGAGGTCCTATCCTCCTCACCTCCAGTAACTCCTCTGTGCAAGCGGCAGCAGGTGGCAGCGTGGTGGATAAGCTGCACACTACTGTCGTAGCCAGCGACGAGCAAGACTGTGGGCTGGTGGCACCATTCGAGCAGGGTACGCAGACACCAAACGCAACCTCAAGGGCGACGCCGGCGAGGCCATAACACGCGCCGTGTCCGTCACGGGCTTTCAGGCAGCATCTCCGATCAGGCGCCGTCAAGCCGGAGGTCCGCCGCTCTTGTTCGCCCAATCGAACTCTATCCAGAATTTGTTTTTTTATTTGCCAAGAGTTAATCTTGCATCGACTTTTGTCTCTCTTCTCCATTAGTCGTCTCCTCAATCGATTGGTTCGACTCATTGTTTCCTATCCCACTGGAGAAGCCCTTAGAAGCCTTCAAACAAGTTGTCACTGTTTAGGTCAGGGATGGCAGGAGATGTTACCTATGGGGAGATAATTGGAACAATGAACTGGCTGAGTCTCTTTTTTTAGGTCAACTACGGGGGATCAAAACGATCCCCACCTGATTTCATTTCCACAGATCCCGACAAGCCGGTGGGTGGAAGGATGCAAAACACCTAATACAAGGGTTGACCCATGAAGGTCAAAGAAGTACATGAAAGAGGGAGAGAGTGGGATTACAACAACATTTAACAGAATCAACAACAAGGATAATCCTAGACGCAAGCTGAAAGACGCCAACCGATCGTCGATTTGCGCCACCACCGAACAGCATACTTGTTGGTTTCACCGTGGCCATTGTGCCCTGCACCACACCTCGTAGCTACGCCGCTCCGCTGCCACCCTCCATCTGAGGACCAACCAGTGGAATGGGGACTAAGAGTGGTGACAGACACGCAAGCCTAAGATCACCGGACACGGCGACCTCCCTTGAAACTGATGGTGACACCTACAACACTTCTGGGCCCACATACCACCATTCAACGCCGTCCATGGGGAGGAAACCATGGAGGGGAATGGCGGCAGCGGTGGAAACACCACCCGGCATTAGATTTTCTGGCACCATCAAGGAGAGCGCCGACGAAGCAGAGACGCCAGAGGAGAACACTCGTCGAAAAATCAGCAACGACCGACAGTCAGGGCTAGTCTCACCTAAGAGGGGAGCAAGGAGCAGGGAGGCACAAACCAAGAAAGGAGAGGGATAGGAGGGGGGGTGGAGAGGACAGGGAGAGCTCAAAGTGGTGTCGGAGGCATAGATGGCCGCAGGTAACGACGCCTTCAAAAAGAAAAGTGACATCCACAGACGCCATCGTCGTAGACCGAAGTAGGGGGGCTTTCACCCAGAGACGCAACTCTGTCGAGCAGGTAGCAATAGCTGAATATTCAACGACGCCTCCAGGGAGGGGCATGACGCCAGGTGCGCCATCGTCGCGGGACCGGAGCAAAGCCGGATAAGGCTTTCAACCAGATTCCATACCAACCCAGCACGCGGGACTTGGCCGGCCACCACCACCAGCTCCAACAGGCCACACAGCGACCAGGCCGTGCGCTAACGCATAGCTGCGCCCAAGCGGCGAGTACCATGACGCGCCCAGCATCGTGCTCTGCGCCGCAGCAAGAGCTGCGGGCCGTCAGCGCCAAGCATACCTCCTGTGTTGACGAGGAAGTTCGCTGGCTTGACGTCGCGGAGGACGACGCGACGGGCATGGAGGTGCGCCTGACCGGCCGGCACCTGAGCCTTAACGAAGAGCAGGGATGGAGGATGACACCCTGATGGGCAGGCCCAGCTCGTCGTCGCGGCTCGTCGGGGCCTACCGCTGCCGCACATCCGCCAACGGAGCCGGTGCAGTAGCTGGCGGCCAAGACGGAGTCCAGGAACGCCGCCTTCGCGCGGCTCGCGCCACCGTCCGCCGCGCCCAACGCTCGTCCCCACCCGCCGGCCCCAGCAGCCTCCACGGCGCCGTCGCGGTGCTGGTCTACCTCCGCCCAGGCTCGCGCACCGCTGCGCACGGACCGCGTCGCGGGCCTCCACGGCGCCGTCGCGGTGCCCCCGGCCAGCCACGGCCCGGACAGGGGCGTGGTAGATCCAGTCGCCACGGGCTGGCCCAGCCAGGGGACAAACAGGACTGCCTGCATCCGCAGCAGGCAGGCGCTCGCGGGGGCCTGGCCTCTGCGCGCGTCCACCTAGCCGCTGCCGCTGCCGGCCACCGTGCCCACTTGCCCGCCGCACGCCAGGTCCGACTCCGCCCCTGAGCGTGGCGTCCGCCGCCACGGCCTGAGTTGGCCATGAGCAGCCTAGCCGCGCTGAAAGCTTCCTCCTCCATGGATCCATCCCCCACGAGCATGGATCCGGCCACCAGTAGCAACAATCTGACCAAAGCACTGACAGATCGAGAGATCTGGGAGAGATTTTGGATTGGAGAAAAGGAGGTGAGGTGGAGAATGGAACACGCCGGGACGAGCCTTTTTGGGTGCCGCCGGCTGGCCGCCGCCGCCACGGCTGTTGCTAGCAAAGAGCCTAGGCAGCAGCGGCCGACTTGGCTAGAGAACGCGGTGGCTGGCGGCCGGGCTGGGTCGCCCTCGAGTCGCCTCGCGAGCGAGACGACGCGAGAGCCCAACGGTCGGTGACGGTCTCCAATCGGCTGGAACAGATGCTGCTGCCACTGCTGAGTCTCTTGATGCCGGAACTTCACAGTACAAAAGGCAGTTGGGCACTAGGACCTGACCTGATCTCTCTTCAACACTCCCGTCTCTAAAAAAGCCTTCCAGCAATTGTAGGAACTTGTTGCAATATTATAGGAACTGCTCCTTGTGTCGATGTAAGAATACAATGACTAAATACTAATAAAAAATATCAATATTTATAATATTAAATAAGTATCATTAGATTTGTCATGGGATATATTTTCATACGTCGCTCATTTGATGTCATAAATATTAATATTTTACGTGCATATTCGGTCAAACTTAATTTAGATACATTAATCAGGAATGCACCTAGAATTATAACCTTTTCTGGAAAGAGAAAGTACAAATCAACCGAGAAAATGACTGCTGGGGTTATATCTGGGGGAGTAAAAAGCACCGGAGGTCCATTAACTTTTATTGGAGTGTTCTCTAGGTCCATCAACTTTGAAACTGTATTTTTTGGTCCATGAACTTTTAAAATGGTTCATTGTAGGTCCATACCATTTATTTAACCTTAAATCCAACGTACATTTGCAGAAAACCCCCTACCTTTCTTTAAACAACGTTATCTACGCTAGGATACGCCTCGTCCAGCTCTGCCCCTGGGAGACGGTGGCGGACGTGGGCGACGCCTTGATGGGGAGTAGCGGGGGAGGAGCAAAGAAGCGGGCGCGGGGATGGCGACGACCAGCATTGCCGCCCTAGCTGATAGCCAGCCATTGTTTTCGCCAAGACGCCGACGCCGTCCGACGCCAACAACAATGTGGCGGCTTCTCCGCAACTGTTTCATTCAAGCGCTCTCCATCTTCCCATGGTGGACTACGACCGACCCCGCCCGTCTGATTCGTCTCCGCTGAGGATGTGCACGGCGTCTAGTGGACGTTCGCCACATCAATCCGCGGCACCCAGCGCCGCCACTCGCTCACTGCCGTTTGAGCAACCGTTGGCAACAAGAACCTCCGGCCCGGCGACTCCGTCGTCTTCGTCCGCGAGGAGGACGGCGAGCTCCACATCCCGCAAACCGCCCGCGCGAACCTTGCAAGGCTGCAACCGCACTAGTATTTGAATTCACTGTACATGTTTCTGATATCAACCGCACTAGCATTTTAGAGTCCACATCCTTCACCGGAAGTTGCTCTCCTCGTGGACTAGAGACAAGAGAGCCCGATCATGCTCGCCGCTGCAGCTGGTGTGCTTCGGGCGACGATGCTCACGTTCATTGTGCGAGATGCCCACATCGCCGGAGCCGAGGCGGTCGTGGCACCGCCGCCGCCGAGCCCAAAGGCGCGGCGTGCACCCGCGGTTTATGGTGGCGGCGGCGCGGGCTCCATGTGCGCGCCGTGCCGCCCATCGGCGCCGACATCTACTACTTCTCGCGAGGCCACGCCGAGCACGCCTTGCGCCGCCGCCGCCGTGGACTCGCTGCGCCGAGGGTGCTGGCTCCTGGATGCTCGGCAGCAGCAGCAGCTGATCTTGTCCGGGATGACCGGGAAGGAGGGACGAGATCGTGGCGGTTCCGGCCGTGGTTTGGGGTAGGGAGGGTGGTGCCGGTGGGAGTGGGTGTGTGGGCGGGAACGGGAAGGCGGTCGAAAAAGCTGCTGGCGCTCGAGAGAGTCTCCGTGTCGGCGGGTAAGGCGCGGCGGCGAGAAGCGCGCGCACGCTGGGCATGCTTGACACCAGCTCGACCCGCCGCGGCACACGTGGTTCACGTTCGCGCAGAGCTCGAGCTCGCCCTAGGTCACCTACGAAATTGGAGAAGCAACCGCCATGATTTACCGGCGGTTCAGAGGAAGAACGAACATGGTGGGAGTGATGGCGTGCGCGTTGTTTTTTATTTACGTACACTGGAAGGAGTCGGCGAGGCGATAACGGCGCCACCGCCGTCTTGAGATCGGCCGGCTCGACACCAGCGACGGTGCCCATGAACCAGCTGATCCGCGACAGGTCCTCCGTCTCGAACGCCATCTTGAAGCGCGAGCGCGGCACGGGGGCCTGCATGGACTCCTTGATGGCGCCGGGCTGCCTGCATTGCCGCCCGCCGCAGAACACGCAGCGTGGCGCGCCGCAGCCGATGTGGAGCTTCTTCGTCCTCCTCGCGGACGAAGACGATGGAGTCGCCGGCCGGAGGTTCTTGTTGCCGACGAAGTTGCTCCGGCCCGGTGGTGAGCGGTGGCGGGCTGGGTGCCGTGGTAGATGTGGCGAAGCGTCCACTCGACGCCGCGTGCACGCCCCTGGCGGAGACGAATGCGCGACAGCGGGTCGAAGCTGTAGTCCAGCTGCGGGAAGATGGAGAGCGCGCAGAACCGTGGCACGGAGAAGCCGCCGCCGTTGTTGGCGTCGGACGGCGTCAGCGTCTTGGCCAAAGACAGCGGCCTGGGCTGCCGCGGCGGCGGCTGTTGGCCGTCGCCGTCGCCATCCCCGGCGCCGCCCCTGCTGCCCCCGTCGCTCCCCGTCAGGGCGTCGCCCACGTCCGCCACCGGCTCCCATGGGGCTGAGCGGGACAAGGCGTATCTTGGCGTAGACGACGTTGGATAAAGAAAGGTAGGGGGGTTTTCTGCAAATGTACGTTTGATTTAATGTTAAATAAATTGTATGGACCTGTAGTGAACCATTTTAAAAGTTTATGACAAAAAAATACAGTTTCAAAGTTGATGGACTTAGATGACACCCCAACAAAAGTTAATGGACCTCCGGTGCATTTTACTCTATCTAGGGTACCAACCTCTTCTCATCTTCCTAGCTCTACAAGAAGTTGATGGAAAATGTTCAAATTCATGAAAGCTACAAATGACTATGGAATTCATCCTATCAACCAAAACACAAAGTGTTCTAATGGATTCTACTGAAGGATGTTGAGTACAAGAAACATTTTGAGAAGGAAAAACATGAACTTAGAAAGTTACAACCGTGTTCTTTGCCAATACTGTAGAATAAACTGTGGAGCGTCTATTCCTAGAATGTAGGTTCGCTAAAATATGTTGGAACCTCCTAGGATAAGCCTTCAAGATGGTGGTGGTGCGTAGCAAGCAGTTGATACAACTAAAGATCAATTGGGTTCTTGCTTCTTCATGAATGCCATAATTCTAATCTGTTGGACAATATGGTCAGCCCGAAATGAGCTCATCTTCAGAGGGAAGCCGAGATGAGGGAAGCCGACTTACTTGAATCCAAGCAACTTCTTTTCAAAGAATTTTCCCTGCTAGTTCATAGGATCAAAAGAAGTTTAGTCCCCTGTTTGATTTATGGCTTTACGTGCTGTTTGTTTCGGTGCTTTTATCCCCGTAACCGCTTCCACCGCTATCGGCTCCTGTTACTACGTGTTTGTTTTAGCATTCACAGAACCGTTCACGGAGGTATCCGATACGGACGACGCTCCAAGCGTTGTTACCGCCCACCTCCAGGCTTCATCCATTTACGCTGCTCGTGGGTTGCATCTACGCTCCACTCGCTCGTCGCATGTGGCAACCAAACAAATCATGTGTTTCGTTATGGCGTAACAGATAGCAGCCACAGCTCTTTCCATTTACGTTGCCACTCCCTACGTGGAACCAAACAACACCTTAGTCTCTTGTGTAATCTTTTCTTTTTCTTTGATTTTTTCCTTTCTTTCTTTGTTTTTTGGTTTTGGTGGCTTTACGTGTACCTATTCTGCCTGTTTAACTTAAGTTTATCAGTAGGGGCCCTAGCCCCTCGTGTTCCTACAAAAAAAAGACACTTGGATCATGTGTCTCTAAATATCACTTAAAATTATATGGCTTCCCTTAAAGCCATCTAAATTTTATATTTTCCCTCACTGCCACTAAATGAAAATTTCATTTTTCTTGATGCCATTTTTGTCGATTTCTGGTTAAGTGACTTTTACATTCACACAAAAATGATGAATTTGGCTCTCTGTAGTTGCAACAAAATTTTGGCTTATTTCCTTAGAAAATGCAAAATAGCATATTTTCTTGCTAAATTGGCTTATTTCCTTAGAAAATATGCGGAAAATGATCTCAAATGGATTATTGATAAGTTGGGGCACCTATAGTTTTCTTGCTCACATCGCCTTGCCTTGCCTAGAAGAGAGCTACATTGGATTGTCTGAAGGCTTCTCCAACACGGGCAGCTAAGACTGTTTTAATCCCACATCACGGGCAACAACTCTTACTTTTGATGAAACCTCAGCTCTGCGTTAGATGAAACTGAGCACGTCTTAGTTCTTTTAGCCACAACACGTGTTGGCTGTGAGCTCGTGCTTTTGTGCCAGATGAAGCGCCAGTACCCTTACATGACACTATGTTCCTCTGTGAAACCACCGTCTATGTTGATTTGGATGCTCGGTAGTTACATGGAGGATGAGACTTCTTTCACAGCACAGGTAGCAAGGCATCAAGGACAAAACCCAACCATCAAACAACGTATTGTTCTGGCTTCTTGCATTGACTGTCTAGCAAGGCAAGGCAAGC